AGCAGGAGTGTTGGATTCAGACCCAGCTCTGGAGCTTTGATGCAGCTGTCACCCCGTTTCCAGCGGTTCCTGGAGGAACCTGTGTGGGTGGAGACGCTTGTCCTGCCTCCTCTTTGTCCATCAGTGCTTTGAGTGGGGTTTGTCTCGAATGCCTGTACTGCTGCGGTGGCACTGTGGGCTTCAGAGGGTCCTAGCTGGGGACAAGACCAATATCCTCTGGTTCTTAATTAACTGTAAAGTCTTGAGTGAAGAAGGAGAGTTCGGCAAATGTCACCATGTCTCTCTGCTCTGTCAGCAGGGCCTGATGTGTGCCAGGTAACACAGGTGGTGGTGAAGGTGACGGGTGAGGTGCGATGGGGCAGTCACCTCTCCTGCCCTGTTGGTCCATATCCCCTCATCTGCCCCCTCCTCTCTCAGGTACCTTGTGGAAAGTGCCACAAGATTTTTCAGAAATCAACTGAAGTGGCTTGTTCAGCCCGTTGTAAAACGGCTGCAGTGCCAAGCTGGTCCTCGGTGGGGTCTGGTGGTGGTGAAGGGGTTTCTGTCACAGAAATGCCCAGCTCAGATAAACCCCCTGCTCAGCAGATGATTTCCCTTCACTTCTCCAGTGAGCTGAGGTGGGGTTTTTGACAAGAACACATCTGGGCAGTCCCCAGCCATTGATATTTTGTTCTTAATGTATTTCTCTGCCAAATCAATGAGCTTTTTTTCCTGCTCTGGAGACTTTTTTTCTTTTTTTTTTTTTTTAATCCACCTCCTAATTAATCAAACCACCTCTTGGTAACTTGATGAGCTCATTAGATCAGGTGTCAGAGATTGCCTGTTAAAAGCTTTCTCACAAACTTACTTACACCCTTTAAATCACATTTGTGGTTTACTTTATAGCTCTATAATTTTTCTACCTCCTTGTAAAATAGTCACCTGCGTGTCTTTTATTGATCTGATGAATAACAGAGCGCACACAGCACCGGCTTTGATTGGACTCGGAGCTAAAGGAACATGTCACCCATCCCTGCAACCCTGAGCTCGCAGCCATCCTGCTGCCACCGCCTCGCGCCTTTTTCCTGAGCGACTTGTTGGGTTTTTTTCCTCTCAAACGCAGTTTTGGTGACACACACACACGCACACACTCACCCCTCACACCTATTCTGGGCTGTGTTTTCTGCTTGGCCGCGTTCCCCCGGGGTGGATCACTGACCTGGCGCTCTGCTCTCCAGCTGCTCGGGGTGACGGCAGCCCCACGGCACCGTGGTGGAGGTGGAACCGTTCCTGTGCCACCACAGAGGCAGGAAGGACAGACCTGCTGATCTCACAGTCTGCATTTTGGGGGAATATTTTATACCATATTTTATACCATTTTATACAATTTTTTGTTGGGTTTTTTGACCAGCAGAGAGAGAGGAGCAGCAGCTGCCCATTTCCTGGTGTTTTTCCATGGTGACACTGGCATGAACATCCCGTTTACACACGGAGTGCCTGGGACAGCGCAGGAGCCTCCCGAGGCCCCTCTCTCCCCGCTGCCCTTTCCTGCTGGCCCACGGCTCTGTAGAGTTGCTCTGTAGTGGGGAGAGGTGCCAGATGTGGCTGAAGATCTCCACAAACAGTAGCAGGAAAGATGTGATAAACATCAAGTTCTCTTCAGTCCTCATCTTGGGTCTTTCGCAATTGTGCCCCTGTTGTGTTACTCCAGAAAAGAGTAGTGAGACCTGAGGCACTGCCCATCCCACTTCTGTTGAGACGAGGGGCTTGAGCCTCGGGGGTTTCAGTGTTCCTCGTCTCTTGATTTCACGGGCATTTGTTTTTAAGTTAAAAAACCTCTTTCTCTGTGTAAAATCCAATCCAATCCCTTCTTCATTCCACCAACCATTTTCTGTCCCTGTTCCCCTTTGACTGTAGGTGACCAGCACCGACATCACTCCCAGGGACCAGCTGTGCCCCAAGGCTGGTGCCGATGTCCTGCCCGTGGGCCACAGCAGCCACTGGCGATCCCGGAGGTGGCAGCGGTGCTGAGGGTGGCACTGGGCTCCAGACTCTGCCCTGGTGCTTTGGGAAGTCTGTGGGTTTCACCCTCTGCATGTGGTCCTGGCCCCATCATCCCACAGAGCTCAGGCTGAGATGAACAGACCTGGCTTGTGGAAAACAGGGATGTTACTGTAAAAAAAAGTGTAGAAACTGGGAGTTTAACCCACTGGTGGGCTGGGGAGAGGCTTAAGGTGAGGCCCTGGGGCAAGGCGGCTGAGCTTCCCCTGCTCCAGTCCTGAAACGCTGGATATACCCTTAAATCACACCCTGGACACCAGCCTGATGCTCACCAAGAGCTTCGTGGCTCTGCTGGTGGCATCTCCTCCTGCCAGACCACCGAGGCACCTCGCAGACGTGGTTAAGGTGCAGCCCCTCGGAGCTCTGAGTGCAAGTACTGATAATTGGGATTTTATTTAAGTTCTGACAATGAGGCTTCACAGTTGTGATCAACCTTGTAACTCCTTGTAACTGAACAACCAGGTGAGCTCATGCAGAGGACTCAGCTCATGGAGGAGCAGAAGCTGGCTGTGTTTTCTCCTTAAAACCCACACTTCTTACCAAAAAAGGGGTTGGGACTGTTGATCTCTCAGGAGAAGATCTGCCATCTGCAGCTCCAGTCCTGAGCTGGTGCCTTCCACCATCAGCTGATTGCGTTGGTGAGAACTGGAGTCAGCTGAGACCAAAGCACCTGAATGAGCTGGAAACTCCCAGGATAAAACTCCTCCAGCTGCTGCTCCAGGGTTGTGCCTTTGCTGTCCCGCTCCTGGGTGCCCAGCTGGTCTCTGTGAGTAGGTGGTTTGGGGTGATGGTCAAGGGTTTGGATGCTCCAGGAGGGCATTGTCTGTGCTGGTTCCCCATCACCCTGGGGAGGACAATGTTGGGCTTGAGGACTTTGGGATGAGGCCCTGGAAAATTTTTAGTTTCTAGGAAAAGTTTTAGGCACTCTCCAGGAGGAAACCCCTTCCAAGAAAGAGATGTCTTTATGCTTCAAAAGTGCAAAACTGGAGAGATGTTCTGCGTTAGGGGAGAACGGGAACTCTTTCAGGTTTGTCCCTTCAGAGGTGCCATGGAGACGAGTCCCTGACCCTTTTTGCAGCTGAGTTTGCTCAGGATGCTTCCAAAACCAGCTTGTGCTTGAAAGGCAGAGGGGAACCCTAAATAAGAAGGGGATTTCTAAAAAAACACGAGCCTATAAATGAGGGCAGGTTAATCCAGACCTAATTTCTAGGTCTGACGCTTCTGTGACCCCTCTGACCCCCGGACCTGCCCCACTCTGTGGGACTCCTCCGTGTCCCCGCTCAGCAGCCGGGCTCTGCTCCCGGCGGAGGCTCCACGCTCCATGTCACGACTCCCCGGGTGTCCCTCCCTTTGTCGGGGGCGGCGGATCAAAAATGAGCTTAAAAACAACAACATCGAGTTTAAGCTCCATCCGGCACGTCCCGTTCCGGCAGCTCCGCTCAGGGACGTACCGGAGCGAACTGGGGGGTGGGAAAAGCTGCGAAAGCGGAAA